AAAAAAAAAAAAAAAAAAAAAAAAAAAAAAAAAAAAGGGAAAGCCTTAAAAACTATTATGGTATTCTTGAAAGCCACCCTGAAGTGGAAAGCCAGTATCATATGTAAAGCACAGGTGCTAGGTATTTGAAAGGAACAAGCTCCCCAAAGGCCATATGCTTCAACCAAAAAATCCCTAATTCATGTTGCTCTACTGGCTTTTCTTTTCCACTGCATCACACCAGACTGCTTAGCTGTTTGGCCTGTGCCTGTCTTCCCTACATATTGTTGAGCTATTGATCTCCATCAGTGAAACCAAACTTTGGTGTCCATTTGTCAAGCTTTAGTTCCTTAGCATCCTTTCCCTTACTATCCTTATGGTATAAAAAACAATAAAGCCATCACGCTATTCTCTTTCAAATAACTCCTTAAATCCTACCTTTGCTATAACAGGCAGTGTTTTGTAGACGATGGATATGGTATGGTGTCCTTATAAAAAATGCTTGACTCCTACTTCGTGATCCTCACATTCTCTGTCCATTTGTTCCATAGAGAATCAAGTAGGGGGAAGGTTTTTTAACCGTGTGTGCATTGTAGATGTTAATGTCATGACAGGTTGATGGAGAACATACAAAGTATTACACCTTACATTCTGTATGCATGATTTTAGTATTTCATCATGGATGTAGAATCTAAAGGGAGATGAGCTACAATTTTTAAGAAAATGACTAGAGATTATCTGGGAGTCTAGATACCTGCAAGTAGTAGTATCAAAAATCTTAGTCATATTGGACAAGAGACCACACAGTTAGAGAAATATGAACTGACAGAAACCAGTCAGCATCAGCCAAGTTTACCATGTCAGATTACTGCTGAGAACATAGTAACCTCATAAATCTGGCGTGCTCAGGACAGAGCACCTGCTAGAAATTTGAAAAAGTTGGATTTTTTAAACCAGCGCGGTGGCCAGTCACGGAGTGGGTAGCAGCAGCTGGTCCCGGAGCAGTGGCAGCTGGCAGCATGCAAAGTGGCAGTGCGGGGTGGTGAATGGTGGCAGCAGCCGTCGCGTGCAAGCTTCCTTCTTTGCATCTGGCAGGGTGGGGGGAAGCGGCGGCCAGTCCTGGAGCGGCGAGGAAAAGTGCCGGATTTTTGCTAATTACGGATTTTTGATACCTGGATTTATGAGGTTATACTGTAGCATAAATCTGTGGATTATAAAAATTTAATTGGGTTTCAAAATGTGTTTTCATCCAGTGAGAAGCAAGAGATTGCAGCTTACCCTTGGACTCCATAAATGCATGATAGATTGAACAAGTGGCATTAAGTGCTAAAAGTAAAAGGGAAATATAAGAGAGCTGGGGAGCTGAGCTGTGTAGGACTATGAAGGTCACTGTGGTAGCTTAAGACTTTCCAAATCTGTAACTGAATCAAGACTATCACTGCTGTCCTTTCCAAGCTTTCCAGTGACATGAAAGAAGAAACAACACAGAGGAACATGATCAAATCCAGAAATCCTGGATATGCAGCAGGTTGATCTGAGTAAAGTATAAATTCAGGTTGATTTTCAAGTCTAAGAAGGATGTATGCCAAAGAGAAACAAATGAAAAAACCTGCTAAGAGAGTATGTGAAAGAACGTAAGGATAAAAACCCAGAAAAAGAAACAAAAATCCTCATGATGATGCAGTGTTATAAACTAACCACTTGGAAGTTTGTTAAAAGTAGTGAATGTTACAGAACAGCTGATCTGACCCGGAAATGCAGCCATCAAAAAAGAATACAGAAGAGAGACACTTAAATCTAGAAAGCAAAGAGAAAGTCAGGCAAAATCAACATGCAGCTATAGTAACTTTAAAAATATATAGAAACTATCCTGCCAGAAAGAGATGCACATTTCCCTGGGTGTGTAGTTGACAAGCATGTGATTTTTATACACTGTGGTATTTGGTATATTTATCTTACTAATTTTTTACTGCATTATTTCACTCTTATCTTGGTAGGATTTATTCCAATATTCCAAATCCCCAAGCAGCTTCAACAGCCTGCTTTTTTCCACACTCATCTGCCAGAGAAATACTTCATCCATCTCTCCTAGCCCAAATGTAGAGCACCGACTCCGTTCTCTAGCTACCCTATAACAAAGTCTGTCAGGTAAGAATTCTGCTCTTTTATATAGGTACCTCAGAAACCTTCACGACTACAAACAAGCTTTTTTATCCTTTTGGCAGGGGAGGCTCCTAGAAGTAAACTCTAGATACCAGACTTCAAACTACTGTGTATTTACTCATGGAAATGCTATTCAGGTCACATTTCAGTGGTTTTACCTTTATTTGAAGCTTTCTCTTCCTCTAAACCCTGAGCAGTTGCATTCATACTAACTGATACCGAGCTTTTTGTGTGCAGTGGGATACAAGAAATAAATACATGAAATGTCACAGATCCATAGTACATTGTAAGGAGCTTCTTTATCTCATCATAGAAACTCCACCTCTTGGGATTTCATTCAAAACCTGCCTGCATCCTGTAGTAGTGTTCAAAGTAAAATAAAGAATTGCTTTATAAGGATTTTTAGTAGCTTCCTCAGACATTACACAGCAGTGTCTTCAGTTATTTTAATGATAGAAATTAAGTAATTTTCCCCACCTCTAACTATGTTGTCTTTTTGTGGAATTAGTCTGCTCCATCAGCATCTGTTATGATTTATGGCGTTTGGGTGGTGGAACATTTGGTTGTATGAGGTTGTCTGGTTAATCTTCAGCTCTTCTAGTGAGAGAGGAGAGGTGACAAATCTTACTTCACACTTTTTGGGAGGGCAGGGAAGAATTGGGAGGGGGCTGCTCAGTGTCACGCTTCAGCATTCAACTCTGTTCTTTTCACACCTCTTTTAGATTGAGCAGTTTTATTTAGGAAACAGCATAATTTAAGACGCACCCATAGAGGAAGCTCATGAGACTGCCTGGGAAGAGGGCTCCATGACTTGGAAAAGCCCAATGGCAACACTTTCATTCAGGGGAAAAAACTGCTGGTAAGGAAGCTAATTTTACTAATTGGACATTTTCTCTGCCCCATACTGAGTGGCTGAGGGGAGCATGGTCTGTCTGGCCAATTTCCTGCTGGGTCAAGCCAAAATGATAACCCTGTGGAGTTGTAGGAAATGGC